AACAAGGCTCTCAGATAGGCAAGAACACTCACTTTGATACGTCCATGCATAGGCTTATATAAAACACAAACACATACATATGCACACTATTCTTAAACAAAGTAGTATGATGATTTTCCATGAACTACAGATATCACTTACACAACACAGCATAGTGACAATGAGGAAAGCCATTGATTTAGAAATTAAAGAGCTTGGGTTTGTATTCTAGGTTCATCCCTTCTGGGCCTCATGAACTTAAGCCAGTCATCAAATACCAATTCAGAGTTTGTTTCTCATCTATAGAAAGTAAATAACAGAGTCAGCCTGTGTATATAAAACACCTGATACATTGTGTTTTATATGTAATATCTCACAGGCTGATACATAGTCTGGCATAACACAAACTACTCAATAAATACCAACTGTCTTTCTTTCTTTTCTCAAGGGTCAAAATGGGAACGTCTGATCAAATTTTCTTCTGGAACATTCCTACTCTCCCAAACAGTTGATAGCCACGGATAGTGTACTGGCTGTTGAGTCATTTAAAACATTCAAAAGTCTCCAGGAATCTAAGGGTGTTGGCTTCCTGGCTGTATCTAAGGGAAGTCAGAAACATAGGTGCCTAGGAGAGAGGTCAGGTGAGCTTCTGCGGAAACCTCTTGCCCTCTGCTATTCTTGAGAGGGAGAACAGCACATGCTCAGATCTCACACCCTTCCCGGTTCCATTTCGGTTACACTTTTTCTAAGTAGGTCAGGAGCTAATAGCCCTTTCTCCTTTATGATGACATACCTGTCCCCTGAAAGCCCATCTAAGTACATTTAACCTGCATTTACTATCCTGACCAGCGCTTTGTCCCAGGAAGGACCGAGGCTAAATAAACACCCATCTTGCGCTTCCACAGAGCTAACCTTGATGATACCTAAGATTGGTCAGCAAGGTGGTTCAATCCACTTCGCATTCTTCAAATATTTTTCTCTGCCTTTCTCCTTTGAAATGCACTGCTCTCTCCCTCATTCTGGCTGTCATCTCCAATGTGCTACTACTGCTCAGGCATTAATCTGGACAAACTATTTATGATAGCAGAGTTATTAACAGTTTACTACCCTCAGGATGATTTACATTTCTTTTGGCTGAAATATTCAAGACAGAGATAATTTTAGAAATGGTGGTTATACTGCTATATTAACAAGAATGTGTCATGGCACAGAAAATCATAGACTCTTAAAACCCTGTAGGTCTTAACTCTCTTTGATTTCAAGGATCATGTCTTCAAGTTGCTAGCCACATGGCTAGAATGGACAATTGAAAATATATGGCAGTGATTGCCTTGACTTTTCTAAATTAAAGAGTTTTGCACCGTTCCTACCAACTATGTACTGCAGTTCTTGTTTTTTTTTTTTTTTTTTTTTTTTTGAGACGGAGTCTCACTCTGTCTCCCAGGCCAGAGTGCAATGGCTCACTGCAACCTCTGTCTCCCAGATTCCAGTGATTCTCCTGCCTCAGCCTCCCAAGTAGCTGGGATTATAGGCATGTACCACCACGCCTGGCTAATTTTTGTATTTTTAGTAGAGATGGGGCTTCACTATGTTGGCCGGGCTGGTCTTGAACTCCTGACCTCATGATCTGCCCGCCTCAGCCTCCCAAAGTGCTGGGATTATAGGCGTGAGCCCCCACACCTGGCCCTATGTACTGCAGTTCTTATGGACAGTTCCACTCATTGAAGGAAAACAAAACAAAACTCATGTTGGGCATATGAGAAATAAATCAGTAAACACAATAATGAGCAATGACATCATGGGCAATAAGCCTCATGGATATAGTCAACATAAATCCTCTTCCAAGCATTTTGGGATGGGGTCATAAAATTAGGAAATTTGGCAATGAGCGGTATTTCATATTTCAACTTCAGGAGGGAATACACTGTTCTGTCTTGTGGCATTTCACTTGCAAATTTGATTCTAATTTGATTGGTTAAAAACAGACTCACACATTGAACATTGAAGAGCACACTTTTAAAAAATCAGACTAACTGGCAATCTCATAAACTGAAGAGAGGTGAATATTATGGTTTATTAAGCATAGGTTAGATGTATCCGACAAAGACACAGTCCCTAGATAATAATGCTTTATATTTTATGAGCACTTAGCTTTCACTCCTTTCACTAATTTAGCCGTATTGATACTAATTTATTTCATCTTCTCATAGACATTATTGTCCCAAATTTAATCACTTTGAAAGCAATCTCCTTTCTGTAGTCCCATGTTCCTATAAATCTGAAAGAACAAAGACCTCAAACAAGGGTAAGAGCAGAAGACATCTGTGATGTAACTGGCGAGCTCACTTCCTGAGGCATCTTTATGTGCTCTGGTGTCATGCTTGAATTTTAACAATGGTGACTTTATCATGGACTCACTACCAGCTCCTCCTCCATTGGAGTTTACTGTTTTTACCAGAATTTTTTCATGTGCATGAGGGGTGATAAGAAACCCCAAACTCTGGGTTCTAAAGCATCAATCCTTTTCTAAATGTTTTCTTATATTGTGAGTCCTGCTAGTATTTCAGAGTGACTATTGCCACAGTCATAAATCATCAGTGGGTAGGATACATGTGGAAGTGGGATGGCCAGGAGTCCATTCACATCAGAGCCTAGGAACTTATTTTCTCTCAATCTCTAGGCCAAATAAGTTAGGTAGTAGCTACCACTCAAGTAGGAAATGCTAGGGCTCTGCCTAACTAAACAAACGTTGGCACATCTCTAGGATATAAAACACAAGTATGTATACTAGCTGAGGACTCAATTACTAAGACTTGTCTACATTAAGATAATTCCATGTCAGAGTGAGAGACTGGAGGTGAGCCTGATTGGACTGAGAAGAGCTGATGCACACATCAAGAGTCAGGCTGGTATTTGCTGATGGCTCCATAGTAGACATCAGCAGGGAGGATGGAGAAGTTTGGGCAGTAGAAAATGAATGTTCTGGGAGAGCACAGGCTTGGGAGTCAACCAGATTCAGAATATAATTCTGGCTTTTATCATGACTAGTTTTACGACTTGACACAAATCACTATATGTTTATCATCTCCATTCTTGTAAGATGGGAATCATACCATCTGCCTTATATTGAGACTGTAAGGATTTGAGATATTTCATGCTGATTTCTTGGTACCTAAGATTTGACTGCATGGCTGGGTACAGTGGCTCACGCTTGTAATTCCAGCACTTTGGGAGGCCAAGACGGGTGGATCACAAGATCAGGAGTTCGAGACCAGCCTGGACAATATGGTGAAACCCCATCTCTACTAAAAATATAAAAATTAGCCAGGTGTGGTGGCATGTGCCTGTAGTCCCAGCTGCTTGGGAGGCTGAGGCAGAAGAATCACTTGAACCCAGGAGGCGGAGGTTGCAGTGAGCCAAGATCATGCCATTGTACTCCAGCTTGAGTGACTGGGCGAAACTTCATTTCAAAAAAAAAAAAAAAAAAAAAAAAAAAAAAAAAAACAACGATTTGACAGCAATAAATAATCTTTATTCTTAGGAGAGTAGGGAATAAAGTGATACATTATAATCCAAGCAAATAATCTGTTCATTTAATCATTTAAACATGAAGTCCACAAACCAACCTACTCTACAGGTGAGGCAATTTGCTAAGATTTGGGTATCCAGTGGTGAGCAATGTGAGTCTGGACCCTGCCTTCACAGATCCTACTGTCTAAGCAGCCATTAAGCAAGAAAGACACACATAAATAGTTGATTACAGACTGTAATAAGCGCTCTGAATAGAGATCTCAGTGGGAAAATAACAGTGTAGCAATGAAATAACATATTCACAGAGACCTGAACGATGAGTAGGTATTACGTTTAGAGCTTAGAGAGGAAAAGATGCCAGAGATGGAAAACAGTGTGCATGGGATATACAGAAAAAAAAAAGAGGGGGGGCAGTAGGTCTGAAGATTAAGAGCAGCCAGTGAATAAGAGACAGGATGGCTTTGGAGGACTGGGCACAGGCAAGGTTATGCAGGGACTTCAAGAATCATGTTAAAGAACTGTTTAATGCACTGGTAAGCCACTGGAGTAGTTTTGAGCAGAGATGTTGCATGATTTAATTGACTTTTTAAAGTGATCTTTCCAGAAGCTGGATTGTGTATTGGGGTGGTTGGCAAACAAAGAAACAGAAGATTATGGTAGTAGTTCAGAGACAGATGGTGATGAGTCGGCCCAAAGCGTAGCAAGTGGCTTCAGAGATGTCCAGGAAGAAGTAATCACTGGCCATTCCAGCAGCTGGGTAAAACTTTTCAGCAGGAAACTCAAAATTAGCTAATAAAAAGAGAAATCAAAGCAGAAGATAGAAAGCATTTAGGGTTGTTGAAAACTGGCAATAGTGCCACTGCTGAGCTAGTGTGGGTAAAGCAAAATAAGAATTTCTTTTCTATAAAATCTGTGTAGTGCCAAGAGATTAAAATAGGACCTTAGCTGTGACATGCGAGTTTCTGTGACTGTAGATAAGGTAGGGCATGGACTCTGAAAGTTACTAGATAGAGGCACGAGGTCACAGGAAATAGCATGGTTTACTTGATCTGAAATGATGGTCATCAATTCACTTAATATCTTATAACTAGAAATAGGATCAGTCTTAGACACTAGGAAGAGCTGGACTAACAGATGAAAGATATGAGACCCAACCTCAGGACCCAGCTGTCCCCAGGCAGCAACTGAGGATGATTGTTGTGCTTTATTAACTTAATTTGGGTATATGTTTTTTACAGTCTCTCAGTCAAAAAAATCTTTAATTACATGCATTTTACAAAAAAAGATGTTAGGTCAGGTAAAATGACACATTCAAAGACATAATTTCACTACCCTGCTACATAAGCAAAATATTACTTACCTATTTTCAGTATAATGGTGTTTTTCGTTTACTGTTTGATAGTGACGCAAAACCACTTTCTCGGGACTATAAAGAGGCCTGGGTATTAAAAGGTGTGGACCTTGTCTTCTATACAGTTTGGTTTGTGACCTGTGGTTCCCAAAGCAACACAACTTCTCCATTACCTGGCCTCAAATGATCCTCCTGCCTCGCCTTCCAAAGTTCTGGGATTACAGGTGAGAACCACTACATCTGGCATATGCAACACCAAGTGGCTGGCAAAATAATGAGCAATGTCTTTCATGTCATTCCATGAATATCGGGAAGCAAAAACACATAGGTTTTCTACTGTTTGTTTTCTAAAGCAGAAGTCTTTCTGAATTGTTTTGCATTTTTAATGTTCTAAATCATATTGCTTTTATTCTAAAAAGAGATGTTTTGGCTTTCCACCATGGGCTTAGATGGATCATTAAATCTGATTGTCTCTAGAAGTCATTAAAGGTCAATCAGAAGGACTAAGGATTAAGCTTAGACTAAGGACGAAGATTGCAAACTTGGACTCGATTTGTTAATAAACAGTTCTATTCTTGCTCACATGGAATTGTTTATATTACCTTTCAAACATGTTAAATCCAGATTCACAAACCAAAATATCACACGAATATGTTCTCTGTGCTGTTTGATTTTTTTCCCCCGGCATGAAAATCAATTTACAATGCTAATATTTCTCCAGATATGTTCTGAGTGGTACACTTTTCTTCAAATAGGCAACAGCTTTGTCTGTCTGTAAACATGCTTATAGTCCTATTGGAGCAGAGAAAAGAAGCAGGCGTTCAGAATTCAATATATGGACTATAACACTGAGAGAACACTCATACATTAGAAAGCTGTCGTCAAGAACACTCAACTGTTCCTTTACATAATTGAGTTCAACAAACATTTACTAAGAGTCTTTAAGTAAAGGACCGCTAGTTGCCACAAGGAATGAAAACTAGATAAAGCTCTTGTTCTCAAGGAAATTAAAATATACAAAGCAAACTAAATTATAGATTTTCTTCATTAAAGCCATTATTAGGCAGCAGAAGGAAGAAACAGGTTTGAATTTATGTTTGAATTTGAATTCTGAATATAGCTTGCTCTTCAAAGCAGGAATCTAAAGTCAAATAATGTATGTGTGTATATACAGACACATACACACACATACATAAATGTATGTACACACACATAAAAACAGATGCATATAGCCCAGTTTGTCAATTGCAAGTATATATTAATAGAATTTATATAATTAATATTAAGTATGTATAGTAAAGCGTGGGTATTTTTCCTCAAATAAATAAAAGATTGCCTGTCTTCTCAAGAGTATAATAGAACTTGTTATTACCTAATCTTTTTTTTTACTACCTAGAGATATTTGCCTGGTCTGGTTTTAAGCTATAATATAAACCTATACAGATACTGAGTCACACACCCACCCATCTCTCCCTACCCGCCATGCACCTCCATGCGCCTGCATACCTTAGTGTGGAAAAAAAAAACTATCACATCATGCAAAATATAATTTTGATGTTAAAGTGTGCTAAATTTGTCTCAAATTGAAAACATTCTGAAGCACTGCTAAACTTAGAATCGTTGCCCTAAGAACAACATCTCAAATTAATTTCTCTGTATTTAAAAATGGTGATGTCCTGCATTTGCCATCCATGGTATCATTGTTCTCTGGGCATGATGGTATAAAGCTTCCTAATCTGAGGCATCGGCATGTGCAAGGAGTATCTCCTGATGTAGGCCACCTTTAATAATTTAGCATGTTGACTTATACTTTCCAAACGAGTAGTCTTGTCTTAACAGTAGTAAATACAGCTACAAAGCAGTGAGGAAGGGCAATTGGCTGAGGGCACTAATTACACTTCCTTGACTTGAATTAAAATTGCTAAACAGCAAATGAGATTACCAGTCTAAAGATAATCTTAATTTAAATGCGAAGCTGCATTTATCTCATCTACAATGTAATTTTCCAGAGGTGTAGAAAAATACAATTTTAATGGGAATCCACTGTTTAAAAATATAAAGTACCTGGTCTCTCTCCCCCCACACCCTTTGATTTTGTTCTACAGGCAAGATGTGCAGACTGATTTAGAGGTCAGAATGAAACATTCAGATCCTGTCCTCATGGCCAGACATTACTTCGAGTACCATCTTCATTTTTAAGGATTAACAGCTGGCTATGGGAAAAGTAAATGCCAAAGGGGTGGGAGATGGAGGAGGAAAGAAAAATGACCTTCTCTAATCCCTGGAGCTATAAGGAACCTTACACATGATAAGAGCTCAAGCCACCATTTGATTAATGAGAAAACCCAAGGCTCAGAAAAGCCAAGTGATTTTTCTAAAAACACAGAGCAAGAAGGCAGCACTGCCCAGCAGAGATGCTGGCCTGGGATTTACAGACAGAAACTCTATGAATCCCATCTCTTTTACTTATTAGTTCTGTGACAGGCAACTTATTATCTTTGAGCCTCAATTACTGTATCTGTAAAATGGAGAAGGGAGTAATTCCAATCTCACAGGTCAGTGAGAACACATATATGCCTGACTTATATAAGTGTTCAATACAAGATGCATTTTATTGTCAATGACTTCCCAAAACCAGAACCCAAATATACTGATTCCCAGCCCAAGTTTGCTTCTATTACACTACTTTACCTTTCACTAACCCAAGACTATGGCCATGGTTTCATGAATCACACCAAACACTTTATGTATGTGTAAGCGGAAGGAGACAAAGAAACAAGAAATAATTAAGAACTAGTATTTCTTATTGGTTGATATAAATGAACATTCAGTTTTATAGTTACTAATCAACTACTACTACTAAAAACACTACAGCTTATAAGATAAAGGTCAAGGGTTTTAAAAAATCTGCTCATTTTATGAATATGAAAGTACACAAACAAAGCTGAAGGTGAATCACTGAGAATTGAGGGACAGTAATTTCAACATGAAGTTCCTCCTCATCAATGACTTATAATCCTATATACAGCTTACACACTTATAATGACTCCCAAACACACACACACACCACTACACACTCCCCAAATACACATCACAACAGCTTCATCATTCTCAGTGTGGCGAGACGAAGTAGGTGCATGACGGAGTGATTGTAGTTCTGAGGGTAGCAATAGGCGGATTCTTAGAAAAGTTTTACAGGTTAGCCCATTTTAAGATCTGTTCTACTATTCTCATTAGAAAGAAGATACAAAAAGGGAAGACAAGAAAACAAAAAGAAAGGAAAACAGAAAGGAGTTAAACCATGATGACCACTGGGCAATAGAGTATTCTTTACAGACAATCATATGGTGGTTTTGACTAAGGTGAGGCTTGTGGTAGAGGGACAACAACTTTGAATAGACAGAAGGACATCCTAGTTTCTACTTTCAGTCTTCAGTATGTAGGGTTAGGTTACATTTGGTAGAGGTTCAACATTTCTGCTACCTATCCATAAAATGAATAATTTTCCCCATCAGTGTGAAAATGAGGTAGTTAGGTCTTCCTCCAAAGTTACTTCTGAAATTCTCTGATTCCATGAATATTCGCCACTGCAGACCTCAAACTCTTTCAGAAGATGAAAAATCCCATATTTTCAATGTATAATTTTAGAGAAAATTCACTAACCAGTTTGATGAATTATGGTAGGTCCTTTTACTGGGTCCTAGTACTCTGGACAATTCTACTTTCTAGAGTGAGTCATGACTAGCCAATTAATCAGGGTTTCCTTATGTCTCAGCTTTATGTCTAGGCCTGGAGAAATAAAAGATGTCCATGTTTGGTTATATTTAACCACACCCCAAACTCTGAATTGTTGTCAGTAAACTAAACTAAGCATTGTTTGTAGATGAAATGCCTTAATCAGTACACCACAGTGTTAAAATATATATGTGAAAACTCACTCTGCCCCACAGAGATATATTAGTAAGGCAGTTTTACTTCAAACAAAAAATAATGTTTTTTGTTACTCTTCATATTTTCAAGTTTCTCTAAATAGCACTTGCTGTCCCAGTCTCAACTTTAACATGAATCAAGAGACTACGTCTAAAATTGGGTATACTGGGATTACTTATTTTCCTATTGGAACCAGTGAGGAGTGAAGAAAAAGGTGAAGAAGGGAAGAAAAAGGGCAACTGAATTGCAAGAAGTGAAACTCACTTCCATCATCCAGATTGAAGTCAGTCCCTTAATAGGATTTGCAGGGACTACATCTTAACTGGTCCTTAGCACCACTTCTGGCACATAGTAAGTACTGAATAAATAAATACTTCTTGGAAGAAAGAAAGATAGTAAATAAAGACAGCCAATAAGGAAGGGAAGACTTGATTCATGCTGGGATTTGTTGGAATACTGATAGGAAGTGTGAGTAAAGTCTTACCAAAGTTTTGTTTGTTTGTTTTTTGTTTTTTGTTTTTTCCCTACACTAGTTTCATATCTCCTACTATTCTGTTTTATGGCTTTGTTTTCCCTTTAAAAATATTGGCAATTTGCAAATTTCCTCAGATAAAGAACACAAAAGTGGTCATCTCCTGGCAAAGTAGTCCAGGAAAATGCTGATTGAACTATTTGAATAGTGTAAAGTATGTGTATGAAAGAGAACATTTCACCGAGTCAGGTTAAGGTCACCATGCATAAAAGACCCTCTCGGTCAATACACTAGAACAGCTGCAGCCTATTTTAAATGCAGCGGAACAACCTGCATTTCAGATCATTGAAATCAGCTGTCTCTGTCTCCTCCCAGGACAGCTCATAGACTAAAGAATAATCAACAGCAATGACTGAACAGCCAGCTGCCTCAGAGATGGACATTGCTGTTGTAAAAGGAATCCCTATAATTTAGAAATTAAGAAACCATATGAGATGGCATTTTAAATTGAAGAGACATCACAAAATACTCAAACAGGTGCTTAACCTGGGAGCATATTTAGGCCAGAAGCCATCAAAGCTGGAATATTATATTTTGCAACTGACCTCAGTAGTCAAACTAAGGGGCCACATAGAAGGGTAAATGCACCTGATAGAAATAATTTAAGCATGCCCTTGGAATAACCCTGTATGGCAGATGCACCTGAATGTGTGTTTTGAGCTACGGATTCCGGGAGTGGCCAACTCTGAGATTCATTTCTTATCTATAATAAACATCAGAACCCCTGGCCCACCCTGTGGAACATGGGCCATACGGAAGACTGAGGCTCTGAGTTTTGTGGGTAAATGAAGGTTGCCAGGTAGAGTTCATTAAGGGGAAAGCATTAACTGAAAATGCTATACAAACTGAAAATGCTGTTTGCAGGTGGTTGCAGTTTTCCTGCCCAGCCCACCACCACTGAGTGATGTGGTTATCTGGTCCAGCACGCCACCATCGGAGCATTTCTGCAGGTAGGTGGTTCTCCTCTTCTCTGTAATCAGCCCCTAGTAAAACCCCATGACTTGTTTGCTAGCTCTGGGTCTCCTTCAGACTTTTGAAACTAATGCCTTCCCTATTAACGTTAATAGGGGTTAACCTCATTAGTTCCTATTAATCATCATACTGGTGGCTTTAAGGTCTGGTTTTAGAGATTTAGCTTCTATGTGTGCACACACTGAATCTCTAAAACCAGACCTTAAAGCCATCAGTAATAAGTTTTTTTTCATGGATTTCCCTATTCACGGTTCCTCTGACCTCAAAGTCTTAGTTAAGTATATGCTTTTCATGAAGGAATGCACCCATTATAACATCTTCTGCTTAACTGAGGATTAAACACACAACAAAACCCCCTGATTTTTCCTCATTAGTACAAATGCTTCTTAAATATTTGACATTACTGTACTTCTTGTACCTGGAAAATTTTCTTATGGGTGAAGAATTTTTTGTTGTTTTGTGTGTGTGTGTTTATGTGTTTTGTTTACTGGTTAAGGACCGTGTCTAGTCACCTCTAGTCGGTATTGTGAGGTGGAGCTACACTGCATATGCCCAGGTATGGGCCTGGAAGTCTGTGTAGGTCTAGGTTCTACATCTTTGCTAATTTATTGTCCTTCCCTGAGCTCCTCTTTGCTCCCTTAGGAAAATAAGAGGATTAGACAATGTGATGCTGAAGGCTACTGGAACTCAGTGCTACTATCCCACGGAGGGCAAACTTTGCTGACAGCTGCCAAAGTCTCAGGATCCTGTGCTGGGGAAGGAATGGGATATGTGGTTTTGACTTCTCTTGTGGTTGGCTCAGCTAGAGCTGAGAAGTGGAGGCTGACAAGACACTGACTTCAACTGATATCAGAAGACAATCAGCGCTCAGCATTGGTAGAAATTTCTGGCCAGGCCTAGTATACTTGTTAACTGAGGAAGCTTATTAAAAAGTGACCACTGGGCCAAGCACAGTGGCTCACGCCTGTAATCCCAGCACTTTGGGAGGCCAAGGCAGGCAGATCACCTGAGGCCAGGAGTTTGGTACCAGCCTGGCCAACATGGTGAAACCCCGTCTCTACTAAAAAAACAAAACATTAGCCTGGCAAGGTGGCAAGAACCTGTAATCCCAGTTATTCACGAGGCTGAGGCAGGAGAAGCATTTCCACCTGGGGATGGGAGGGTGCAGTGAGCCGAGATCA